CAAGCAGACTCAAAGCTGAGCACAGAGCCCCACAAAGGGCTGGATCCCATGACCCTGAGATTGTGTCCTAAGCTGAAATCAAGAGTCTGATGCCTAACCAACTGAGCCACCCAGGCGGCCCGATTTGCTCCTTTTTTTAAAGTTCTTAAGGGACTAAAGCAAGAAGCCTAAAGTATTGCTTTGAGAGCTTTTGAGAGGAAAGACTTCCCGCTGCATGTTTGAGACGAGCGAACCCTCCTTCTTCAAGCACAGAAGTGACGTCCCCAACCACTGAAGAACCCACAACATGGCAGCAGCTGGGCTAGTTACTTTCAGTGTTCCCTTTCCCTGAAACGTTCAAGGGTCTGCCCTCTGCAGCGTCTCAGGAGTGTTGGTTAGCAGTCTGTATTTCTCATGACAGCACCGACAGCAGAAACTGAGGCTCCTGAGCAACCTGGCTATGTTTCACCCGGGTAGAGAAACTGAGATTAGAACCTGATCATAACGAATGTTCACTAAGTGCCTTGTCTGAGCCAGCACTGTGGTCAGTCCCTGGGGTCACGAGGTGAAGGACAGCGATGAGATCCCTGCCCTCAGAAACTTCCCAGCTGATGCAGGAGAGGATGCAAACCGTGCAATGACGTGAACATATATCGTGCCATCAAGTAAACGATCCTGCAACATTAACACAGTTCTCTGCTTCCTAGATTTATTTTGATGTTGTGGATCGCTTAACAAGAAAGGTCATGGATAATTCCTTGATTTTCAACATTAGGATCAGCGATGTGAACAATCACGCACCCCAGTTCCCCGAGAAGGAATTCAACACCAGTGTGAAGGAGCACTACCCTGCAGGTGCGTGCGGCGGGAGTGTGGGGGCTTCCTCTCCCCTCTGGTCCCCTCTGGTCCATCTGCTTCCATATTGTGGTGCCGGATCCTCGTTGTCTTTAGGGAGAAATTTTATTCTTCTCATCCCGAAGGTGGCAGGCTCTGGTTTTGAGCAGAATGCTTGGAGGTCTGTAAGTATCGTTTTGTATTGGCAATAAAATGAGGTGGAAATTGTGTCTGTTGCAAGAGCTGATATGTAAAGACCAATCTAAAGTAGGTCAGATGCACTGAGGGAGAAAGGCAGAGCTGAACGGTGCCTTCCTGAATATCTCTGTAAATTTCTCACCTGTAAAATGGCAACGAGATGACATCTAAAGTTCCTGAGCTATAGATTCTGTGAGTCTTTAAATCCAAACCACTCTCACTAGAATGTGCATCTATTTTAATAACAGAAAAACATTATTTATTTCACAAAGTAGTCTTCAGAAAATTTGGAAAATTCCAAGAAATTAAGACTGAACTAGAAAGCTTATTTTATACTTCCAATTAGAGATTAAGTACCATTAATGTTTTAGTTTATATTCTTTTTTTCTTTGAATTTTGTATGTGTGTGCATGTACACACGCTGTATATTTATCTATGTGTATATATATTCCCTGATTTTATATATAATTACCAATGCATTTTTATCATAGTGCAAAATATATAGGGGTATATAATAAATATTTACAAATGTATGGGTGTGCTTTTTCATATGTGTATATTTATGAATTTTCTTTTCTAAAACAGCAAATTTACTGTTTGTAACCTAAAAGTGTTTTCCTACAGCATCCTACTGTGTAATATTTTATTTCATGGATGTGCTTTAAGGTTTCTTAACGAATCTCCTATTGTTAGACATTTGTGTGCCATGCCCACTTTTTGTTATCTTCACAAAATATGCTTCAGTGAACACATTTGAGCTAAATCTGTGTCCACTGAAGCATTATCTACTTGGCATAATTTACAAGAGTAGAATGGCTGGTTCTGACTGCACATACAATTTAAGTGTTCCGCTTTACTCACCTACTGGCAACATCTGGGGGGCCTGGCACGGGGTTCATCTTTGATTATTAAGTGCTTGCATATGTTGATAGGTTTCTTGTCCATTTCTGTGTACCAGATACTTGTTCCTTTCTTGGTCCATTTCTGTCCCTGTGCTTGTCATTTTTCTTCTTGATTTTAACCTTCTCATTCTGTATTAAGAATGTTTATGTCTGCCATATATATTTTAAATGTTTTCCTGGTTTATCATTTCTTTTTAAATTTTGTCTATATAGTTCTTCTTGGCACACCTTTAAAAATCTGTCTGATCTATCAATTCTCTCCTTTATGTCTTCTGCATTTGCAATCGTGATTAGAAAGTTCTTGTGACTATTTAGGGGTGCCTGGGTGGCTCATTCAGTTAAGTGTCTGCCTTTGGCTCAGGTCATGATCTCAGGGTTTTGGGATTGAGCCCTGTGTCCGCCTCCCTGCTAGGCGGGAAGCCTGCTTCTCCCTCTCCCCCTATATATACTCTTTCTCTCTCTCTCAAGTAAATAAATAAAATCTTAAAAAAAAAAAAAAGAAAGTTCTTGTGACTATTTAAATATTCCTTTTTAGTTTTTATAGTATGTCTATAACTTGATTTTATATTTAAATATTCAGTCCATTCTGGTGGATGCCTTAATGTCATTTAGCAAAGAATCATCTGCTGCTTTTGGTCAATAGTAACTGTTAAAACAATTCTTTCCAGGTCAACCCATTTTCCAGATGTTAACAGTTGATTTGGATGAAGAAAATACTCCAAATTCTCAAGTCCTTTACTTCCTTATTTCTCAAACACCGTCACTGAAAGAAAGTGGCTTCCAGATTGACCATATTAGTGGAGAAATACAACTCTCAGGATGCTTAGATTATGAGGTTATGTTGATTTTATTATTTTTAAAAAGTGAAATGTGTTCTCTATCTTGGAGCCCCAGACTTAGGATTTATGTTTGTAGTGGAAAACCCTCTGTGGCTGGACTTGCTATTGAAATTGCTATAATGCATTATTACTTTATTAATACTTCCCTTTGCTGTATTTGAAGGGCTTGACTGTTCTTTTCCTTCCCACATAGACTGCTCCGTGGT